CAGAAGGCATGGAAAACGAGGCAATGCCTGTTCTACCAGCAAGTGTTTCAACCACTAATCATCTTTATCATAGAAGTAGGTCCAGGTCAAGTGCTAAGATACAGCTCAGGAGTAGTTCTCGTGTTGTACCATTGCACAGAAGTTTTAAACAAGTAGGCACATTATGGAAATTAACTGTAGCTAGAAATGAAGAAAACAGCAAGCAGGGCCCAGAAAGTCTTGCAGCTGAACTGTTATTTGCTCAGGACAGACTTGTGCTTGATGCTTGGAACACAGTAAGACAACAGTCCCTGCCCAAAGGAGCACGCAATCCAAGGAAACACAGGTAATTCAAGCACAAAACGCACCAGCTGACCATGCACTAGGGCCTTACAGAAGTGCAACGCAGCAAATGTTTTCATTGTGAGTGAGGTATCACGGCACTTAAATAGCACAGAGTTAACAGTGACAGTCTGCAGAAGAGGTACATTTTGAGAGGATTTAGAAGCAGGGGCCAGAGCTTGCTACTCCTGGATGAAGACTGCCTTTCAGGCACGCCAGGCAGAACAGAAGGCTTGGCATTGGCCCTCAAATGCACACAGTTTAATATCTACAGTTGCTGGACATTGTATGAAGGTAAGGTGACACACAAAGTAAGTTTATTCAAGCTGGCCATACTCAACACCATTTCTTTCATTAACATGACTTGATAAAAGCTCAAAGAAGAAAAACAAGCAGTCACCAGCTACCTTTGAGCATCCCAGTTCATCATAAAAAACATTAAAGGCCAAGGTAAAGATTAAACAGATTACTTGCTTCTTTTAAAAGTTCTCTAAACCCAGTATTTATACAAATATTCAACTGTAGATCTTAAGCTTCTGGCTTTCATAACTAGGAATGAGATATTCTTGCCTTAGACATAGCAAAATGAAATAACTGCTTGCACCATGAAAGACTGACATCTGTGTCCTGCACCACTTTCATTTTGCCTATATTATTTTAAAATTATAGGAACAAATTATATTTTCATATCCCTTAAGCAACTGCAAACTGATTATTCATGTGTCAGGGCAACAATAGGTATCAATACTTCAAATGTTCTTTTAGTAAGATGTTGGTCAAAGTACCAACTCCACTGAAATACTCAGTTATCATATAGAATCATAGAATCACTTTGGCTGGAGAAGACCTTTAAGACCATCAGGTTCCACCATTATCCTAACACTACCAAGCCCACCACTAAACCATGTCCCTAAGCACCACATCTACACGTCTTTTGAACACCTCCAGGGATAGTGACTGCACCACCTCCCTGGGCAGCCTGTTCCAATGTCTAACCAACTCTTTCACTGAAGAAATTTTTCCTAATATCCAATCTAAGTCTCCCCTGGCACAAGTCAAGGCCATCACCTCTCGTCCTGTCATTAGTTACTTGGGAGAAGAGACCAACCCCCACCTCACTACAACCTCCTTTCAGGTAGTTGTAGACAGCGATAAGGTCTCCCCTCAGCCTCCTTTTCTCCAGGCTAAACAACCCCAGTTCCCTCAGCCGCTCCTCACAAGACCTGTTCTCCAGACCCTTCACCAGCTTCGTTGCCCTTCTCTGGACACGCTCCAGCATCTCAGTGTCTTTTTTTGTAGAGAGGGGCCCAAAACTGCACACAGTACTTGAGGTGTGGCCTCACCAATGCCAAGTACAGGGGCACGATCACTTCCCTACTCCTGCTGGCCACACGATTTCTGATACAGGCCAGGATGCTGTTGGCCGCCTTGGCCACCTGGGCACACTGCTGGCTCATGTTCAGGCATGAACATACGATGTTCCCCATAATCTGTATTTGTATTTGCGTAAGCTTTCAAAGGACGAAAAAAAATAATCCTTATCTTCGCTTATAGACAGGGCAACAGAAGCAGAGGGAGGAGCAGCATAACAGAAACCAGAGCCTTAGTGGTGGACACAGACTTAAGACCAGGACTCCCCCTGTCCAGAGGCAGAGCTGCTCCCTCCCCTGGGGCTTGGGAGTCACCACGAAGGCGCCTACAGGAAAATCAGAGGGTTATTAATGCCGTCAGTGCAAAGACAGTTCTCAAGATAAACTGAATGAAGCCTTACATTTGGGAAAGAGAAGAAAGTCATCTGAGGCATGAGTCATCTCGTAACCATTTACAAGAAAAATTCCTTCCAGAAAACTGGAGGTCTCCAATATAAACTAGAATATGGGTAAAGGAAGGCTTGGAAAGGAACTAGGCATAAGAAAAAAAAAATTTATTTTTTTTTTTTTAAAGCTTGAAAGGCCAGCCATCACTGTAATGATGAACCCAGAAAATAAGAGAAACCTCCACGCTATGTCGGTCTCTAGAGTTACAGAATGTCTCATTTCACTACTGCTGTGCACATTAATACGACAAGAGGCAGACAGTACCAGGAAGTTCAGCTAGCCTAAGAAGTTAAATATCAGGGAAAACACCCAAACCAAAAAAAACCTTGAAAAGTTGTTTGAGTGACCGAAAATAAAACTTCAGCTGGGGTCAAAAGAAAAACCTAGTTCTTTTAAGACAGGCAAAACTTGCGTAAATGATGAAAAATTCAACAGAACTTTTGTAGATGTGAGTGATGGCGAAGTTTCATCAAGACAGTTGTGGAAACACGGGAAGAGAACTGAAAGATTTGAGTGAGAACTGACACAGAACTGAGAACAAACCCTAGACATGACTACTTTTGGAGGTACACCAGACAGTTAACTTGCTGTTTCAGCTGCAGTTAATCTTTCGAGAACCAAGAGGATTACTTTTTTTTCCAAAGACATTAGTTCTTAAACATCTCAAAGTGAACTCATCGCATTAAGAGATGCTCTGTAACAAAACCAGTATGACTTCAAATCTAGAGTTTATAAACAATTTGTAAGATATTTAAAACTGAAATGCAGAGATCTGGAGTAACGTTAGGTTTTTTCCCAAAGCTCATGTTTTTCAGTAATTTTCTGTAGCCCAGATATAGCAGCAGAGGACTATTAAGTAGTTTTATACAAGATACAGATCCAAATAGAGACTGCTTGTAAAAATGGTCAATGCAGCCTATACAGAAAGGGACAACTTCAAACACAAAATGGGGATCACCCCTCCATACCAGCTGAGGTTCTGCTGGTTACGTGCTCCGTACATCAAGACACACGTCCATGTAAAATACCAACTCAAACTCTACCTCCAATTTCATCTATCTGAAGTGCCAAGCTTGTGTGGCAGATCACTGTACTTATCTGAGCTATGCTAAAGTAAGAGAATGTCACCGTTGTGATGACAAATATTCCAGCACCTACTTCTTCAGTCTGCTTTGCTAAACAGATTGCTTTTATCACCAAAAATGCACGAATCATACTCTTTTAATCCTTCCTAACAACGAAAAAAAAATAATTAAAGTTTCTCCTATATTTTCACTTTATTAGAATTCAATAAACGTATGTAATTTTTTTTTCTTTAGAAACACTTATAAAATGCTAAAATCAAAGACAAGCAGACCTAAAGCAGAACCTGGCTATCACTACCACCAGCCTTTCCATTTAATGTAAAAGATACACTGTGGAAATCAAGGAGACTTTTGCAACAAGTTTAGCAAGTCTGCTGATACACTAATACTTCTAGGAATTAAGAAAAAATGACAATGACAGGTGAAATCGATTGATAAATCCCACAGAAGTTTCCCTTGCTCTCTCACAACTCAAAGTACTCATCACTTTGCACATGCTGTGTTCTTTACACTGGCACACTCATCCAACAGGACGAGATTTCATTATGAATACTCTCAAGGCTGGTTAAAGTTTTATAAACAAAGCAACTGCTATTAGAAAGAGAAGAACCACAGTGAGGAAGAAGATTAGGCAGCGCTCAGAGTTACTTTAAATTTTAAAATATGAGCCGCATTAAAAAGAAGTTTTAACATGCTGCAGTTGGATCCCCAGCCTGCCAGAGAACTGCGACTTCTATACAAACAGCTGTTTTCTCTGCTATGTCAAAGATCCACCCTAACACAGGACTGCCTGGCTGCACATGGAAAGCCCCAAAAATACAAACATCTCCAGTTAGCATTCTTGTGATGAGAAACAGAAATCAAAAAGATTCTTTTCCAATCTTTTCACTTTAGGGAGGTTATTTAGCAGTTACCCTGTCCCCTGTTTTAGGCAAGGAATGATCTTTAAATCACCCATGTTGCTTTAAGCAGTGTAATTTGAGAAACACACAGAGAAAGTCACAGTAAACACTAAGAGAGGAAAAACTTTCCAAACTGGAAACATAATGAAAACTATTAATTAGGCACACCCCTTCTGGGAAAAGACAAAATAAAACAAACCAAAACCAAAAAGCCAAAAAACTCCACCCCAGCTACTGCTTTCGTTTAAGACTCATCGGGGTACGGCATAAGAGCAGGAGCTCTTACGCTTTTAAAAGCACAGCTTTGGAGCACCACAGATGTCCACACAAAAACACGCAAATAAGAAGTCGGATTTAATTTTTGTTTGCTCTTACAAGGTACAGGATTTGTTCTCTGTGATGAAGCACTTATTTCTGACTTCTATGTGCCAAAAAACTCTAAAGGGCCAGAAGCTTGAGACCAGTAACTGAGATCTGTGATTCATACTTTAAAAAGTTAACACCAATATACCTACCGTGACAAAACGAATGGCAAGTCAAACCAGCTTCTTAACAGCTGAAAGTTCTATTTTCCTTTGAGCATTATGTTTTTCTGACCGGTTTCAGTACGCCACAGCTCATGTATTTATAGGGTATACACTACAAAACTACAAACGCAAACCAAACATTTCTGTGCTGTGACCTGCATTGTCTGAAAGTTTTCACTCTTCTTCCACTTCTGCTGCTTTGCTAAAAGGAGCCACACTGACGCATTTTTTCCTATGGGGGAACCTACTGTGAGGCTCTTAGGAAATTTCCAAAGGGTTATTGCTTTTCAGTGAGTCGAGTTTGAAACCACAGATCGTTATGGGGAAACAAAGTTAAATCTTTCTTACCATTTTCATCTACAGCAAGTACACTTGCTCCCTTCCCTAAAAGTTCTTGAACTACAACCGTGAGTCCATTCCGAGCAGCAACATGCAGAGGTCTGTGAAGACAAGCAAACTTATATATAAACCTTAGAACAAGATGCTAAGTAAGATCAGTAGCTTGCTCTAGTTAAATGATTATTGAAGTACTTACACTTGTATGTTATTTACACATCATATAAATAACTAAGATGAGAAAACCAGCAAATCTCTTTTCTTACTGCAAAGAAACTGTACAGTAACAATCGGGCACTTTCTTCTTTTTATGGCACCACACGGCGAGGAAGCTGCTTCTCAAAAAGACCTGCCTTGTTATGAACTTTATCATGTTAAAAAGTCAAGAAACAGCTAGTACCCTGCTGTTGATAAATCCTTCACTGAACTGCTGTAACAGATACCGTCGCATCTGAGTTACTGCATATCTCTGGCAATAATCAGTAGAATCCTAACAGCAGAATGATAGTCACATTTTATTGCATGTAAATGCTTGTAAGAGATGCAGAAGCATTTCATCAATCTGCCTTTTAGAAACCACTACATTCCATTGTGACTAGAGATAAAAAATAATTACTTGACAGCATAATGCATGAAGCAAGAAAAGCAGATTGCAGATTACTTTTCAAAACCTCAAACTATTAACCATAACTCTATTTTGAGGTGACTTGATCTATCAAGGAAAGTGTAGCTTTACCTTAAATATTCTAATTGTATGTTTTTCAAATGCAACACGTTTTCAAAATTGATTCTCACTGGCTTAAATAAAACCCTACCACCACTCAGCACGGAGCAGAATCATCAGCTTACTTCCCTTCTGCTTTAGCTTGCTTTTCATTCATTCTGAGATTCTTAAAACTGTTTGAATTAATGTGCCAGATGCCAGAAGGGATGCAAGGCCAGAGAAATACACCAGTTGCTTACAAGTTGCAGTGTTTTTTTTCCTAAATGCTCTGTGACAGCATTATTAAAGCAGTCTGACAATTCATGTACATAACTCAGCTAATAACAGGTGTCAGATATTGCTTATAACACAAACACATTCTTTAAAAGGAAAAAATGCAGAAGAGTCATTTTAATAGTCCATCCTGATACATATTCCCCAGTATGATGTATCGCTACATGTTTAAGTTTTCCTTATGATCAGGCTAACAAAATAGGCTTAATATGACTTGAGAGAAGATCTTTAGGAAGCATTAATACTGTATTCTCCATAATATTTAATAGAAAATAGTCTTTCAACCTAGTACGAATAGGTGTCTTGCTAACAGAAAGCACGCTGAAGAATAAAAGCACACTTCAGCTAGGGTTTGTCTTTTTATTAGCTAGCTTTGAAGAGCAAGTCTTAGTTTGCCTTGAATGAGTTACTAACTGAAGTGAATTTTAACTGAAAAATTAGATAAATTATAAAACAGAAAAATATTGGTTTACAGGTAATCTCAGTGGATTCCAGTAATTCCACACAGGATTCCCTGAATCACAATACTGTAAGACTGATTTATCGTCCCTTTCACCAAGCTAAAACTAGAACTTTAAGTATGAGCAAAACACCATTTCACTTCAAGTCAGTTCAACTCTTAGTACCTATTAAGCAATTACATCAACCAATTTGGAAAGAAAACCGGAAAAATATTCCTCTTTATGAGCCAGATACACACCAAAACCTCATCTGCGAAACACACTCACTGCTGATACGTACGTTTGCAAGGCTGCATTGGTGGCATTGATGAGGTTTCTATCCGTAATCTTCTCCAGTATTAACAAGGCACTAGTTTCATGACCCTTAATACAGAACAAACATCTGTCATATAACAAATACTCTTCAAAAATTGCTTTAACTGCCCTTTCAGAGTAATTCGCAAACAGTGCTCGATAAGACAAAGCTCAGCACTGGTAAGTCAGACTACACACCTTGCTGCAAGCCAAATGGAGTGCTGTGTTCTTGGAACTGTCTTGCAAAGTCAGATCAGCTTTAGCACTGCTAACCAGCACCTCTGGGGAAATAAAGATTTGTATTAACTAAAAGCGTATTCCTTAAAGTCTCACTGGCTTACATTTGTGCGAAATGAAAACATAATTTTGACAAAATATACCCACAAGAATATTAACTAGAAGGCAATTTTACCCTAATAAGTAAGATTAACAAACCGAACAGCAGAAATACATAAAGCTTTCTCTTTACCAACTGTATTCGTCTGTCCATTTTCTGCAGCCATCATTAAAGGTGTTTTCCCAGAAGAATCTACAGCATTTACTTGAGCATTGTGACTGAGCAGGAGCTGGAGACACTCAACGTGATCTGTAAAAGCTGCTGCATGAAGAGGAGTTCTACAACAGATCAAAAGACAATGCGGCCATGTTTAGCCACGCTTTCTACGTTATTAAAAGGTGTATCCTGACTGTGATCCTGCAGATACCAAAGACTGGGCAGCCCCTCCCACTGATCCTTTGAAATCAGTATTGCTGGAGTTGTGACTGCTGCCTTTAGAAAGTCACCTTCAATTCCCTCTGTGTAGTTATACGAGAGATAAAATTTGATTCAGAAAAATTAAATCTGCATAAAATACTACCCACAAAGCGATACAATTTAAAACATGCTCAAACTTGCCTATATAATAAAAAGCCAATTCAAGTTTATTGAATCAGAACAGGATTTTTAAAAATCTAAAATTTATTTCTAGAATAGAAATAAAAAAAAATCTTCAAAGAATAAAACAAGGGCAATGGGGAATTAACAGAAGTAGCGAATACAAAAACCCCAAATGATTGCCGATTTAGCAGAGCCACTATTACATTACACCACTGTGCGTTTAGACTCTTACCTTCCTTTTGAATCTGTTGAATTTACAATACCAGCACCTAGTGTATCAATTAACATTTCTGCAGCACCTTCATTGTCATTTATCCTATAATGAATTAAACAGGCTGTTATTTACAGAATGATAAATCTTTAGTTAAATACAGCAATGAAACTGATGAAGAATAATTTTGCACTTCCTTACACAGCACAATGCAAGGGACTGAAAGAATTTCCTTCCATTTTCTGGAAAACTTCCTGTTCCAGGAGGAGCTCTACACAACTGTCATGACCTAATGCAAATGTAAGAGTTAGGTATTAGGAAAAAGGTCTACTTATGGATTACAACAAAAAGTATGTAAATTAGATTAAGCAATATTTTATTTGAAAGCTTCAAAGACACCCTAGTTATATTTGATAGGGCCTACATTTAGGAACTAAGACATTTTTAGAATCCTGAAAAATCAAACTGACATTCAACACTGTAAACTTTGTGAAATTTAGAAGGGATCTCATGCTGTCTGAAGGCCATCCAGAACACTTCAGTTCTTTACACCTCCACATTTCAAACTCTTCTGTACATTCACCAGTTAATCTACATGAAAACATCTCTGCCATTCAAGGGTTATTTTTGTTCCACTGTCTTGCTAAACCTGAAGAAAACCCAAGTCAACAGTGTAACAAAGGCTTAAAAAGAACATGTTCAACCTATCATACTATTATATTCAAAATTCTATAGCCTGCCGCTGTACAGGTAGCTACCAATTCTAACTATCTGTTTGATCATCGATGCACATGTGCAGAGAACCTTCGTTCAGCATTCACTGATGTCTGAAGATTTGTATTTTCAGAAGTCCTGTCAAATTTTCATTCTATAGGTCAAGTGTATTTCAGTTCTGCTTTATTCAGACACTGTGGTCACTCTGAAAATAGACCAAGCTGTAAAAGTTTAATTTTATGCATGTGATAAAGAGATGTTATTCTAGTTCAAATTATCAGCGTATTACCCAGTCACTTCAGCTGTAAAGACAGTCTAGTTAGTTATTCACTTAAAATTAATTGGTAAGATGAAGCTCTTAACCCTTACTTCTTGATCTTTCTCTATCGCATATCTCAGAGGTGAAATAAATGAAAACCTCTACCATGTCAGAAATGAGCACACAGAACAAAAATCTTTAGCAACTGAATGAATTTCCTACCTTTTAAGGCCTCCCTCACCCACAAATCCAAGAATAGTATCAGTGAAGAAAAAACAAATTCTTATTGAATCACTTTGATATACTTTAGCTTCTTATGCCTATCAAGGATGATTTGAAGCAAATTTAAAAAAAAGATTTAATCTGAAATCATTCCTCCTCCCAAGACTCCCTGTGAAGGTTATTTTTTGGGGATGTGTGGCACATTTCTATTCACAGGTACCATGCTGCATTTCTTGAAAGATTCCTTAAGGGATAAGAAGGCAGTTTGTAACAAAAACGTAGCACAAAAATAAAAACCTCATGTGTTAGATGTTAACGCATTCCCTCTCAAGATATCCTGTCTGTCACATCGTCACATTGACTACTACAAACTGAAAGAGGACAGACTTTTGTGTTGCTTTTATAAGCTGTAATAACTTCTATCTCAGTATCAAGAAAGACATTTAGACCTGTATTTTAACTTTAACATATTTTACCATTATAGCAGGCCCAATGCAGTGATGTATAGCCGTGATTGTCTGCTATTGCAGGTACTGCATCTGCAGATGTAGCCGACTGCAGGAGAGCTCCTAGAACACCTATATGTCCGCATGCAGCCGACAAGTGTATAGGGGTTCGCCCCCTACAGTCTCGCAGTAAGGACTTAGCACCATGTTGAAGCAAGGCTTCCACACATTCCTCATGCCCTGTAACTGCCTGCAAGAGAGAGACAGGAAACAGCAAGTTTGCAAATATTCATGTCTATAAGCCAAGACATGTAACTACAGCAAGCAAACTTCAGGCAATTTGTTATATTTTTAAGTAACAATAAAATAAGCACAGTTAGTGTTTTTATTCCTGGAAACAGCCATTCTGTTGGAAAAATGGCAATGTATTATGTACTGATGACAGAAAAATTTCTTGGAATAACGCTGAATGAACTGCTAATCTCTAAGGCTCATTCAACTGCCTTATCTGGCAGAGACTATAAAAAAAATAAAATGGCATATGGCATGCGTCACACTTTTTCCTCCCATTAACACTATGTCCACCCCGTAACAAAAAGCTGCACTCTAGGACCTCTCCAGTCAACACTTCACAGCAAAATTAAGAGACTCTATCTGGAAGCCCAGAAGAATTCTGAGTGTATGTAGCAAACAGGCAAAAACTAGCCTTTTGAAAGTGACTAAAAAGACAATTAAAAACTAAGAATGGCAAAATGAGAATAATGAGAAATCATTAACACTACATATTAAGTCTGTATGTGAAAGTAGTATGTATAAAACCAGAAAGGACAGAAAAGGAATATTCTCTTACCCCTCTGTGTAATGCTGTCCTTCCCCACTTATCTTTGGCATCTACATTTGCTCCTTTGTTAAGGAGTGAATAAACGCAGTCAGTGTGCCCATTGAGAACTGACAACATCAGAGGAGTCCTAAGCAGAGAGGGAAATAAAGTGTAATCTACATGGTAATATAACAGACCAGCACTCAGCTGAAACAGAACAACTACTATCCTTCTAGACAACGCTGTTAAAATTTACATCATCAATGATCTCTAGCACTACCTACACTCCGAGAATGCCACTGATATTTGCTTTTTAGATTCAAGAAAATAAATTAATACCCCCTAATTCCAACGTCCTGATTAAGTTACTAGAATCCATATTGTCAGCATCTGGACAGTAAGAAACATTTCAGTTTCCTCCCAACTGAACAAGAATATTTTCACCACTAACATTACATTTATTGCAAAATACAGCCGCATTTTGTCCTAGTTCAAATATAATCTCTCTTTAAAATAATAAATTAAAAATCACCAATGTAAAATATTTAGGTTTTCATTTTATAAAACGCAGTAACTTGTGAAGAACAGAATGTGTATCGCTTAAACTCACTGTCCATTTCCATCTTGAATGTCCACCGCGTTCTGTGGTTCTGCATTTCCTATCAATAGCCGCAGACATTCTGAATGACCATTCGTAGCTGTAAAACATGATAAAAATACATTAATTGCCTTTGAGTGTACAGCTCAAGCAAACAGTAACCTGCTCAGACTAAAGCCTGTTAGCTTGAGAACCCACTGTACAGCTTTACCTTCGCTATAACTTAAACTAAAACCAAAAGCTATGAACACTAGAAAATTATTTCAGAGATCAGGCATTATCAACTGTATAGTATTAAAAGTAATTGATTCCAACTGTCAGTTGCTAACAGGTATTTGTTTTTTACATATAGATGAGGTTGTACACATTAACCATAATTAGAATATAAGCTTATACAACACCCACAAGGAGGAATAAATAAATATAGTAATTAGCATAACTTTTGCTTGTTTTAAGGCACAGGTAAACACATACTTAGCCAATCATAAACTGATTTTGCTAGCAAGTGTGGTTATGAAATAACAACTGAAATCAAATTTAGAAAGAGGGGAAGGAAATGTAATGCATAGAAGTAATTAACCAAGCTGTTAAAAAAAAAAAAGAAAAGAAACAAAATTTGAGAAATCACATTTAAATGCAACTCATGAAAGAGAAATGATTGCTTGTTGGCAGGGAAATTATTTCTGACATGCAGCTGCTGTATTCAGTCCACATAAGAACAGTAACAATTCATGCTTCTCTAGCTGACAGAAATGTTAACAGAAGTTAGGAGAAGCTAAATCAAATAGAAGAATACAGCTTGTGCTTATGGACAACAAATTAAGTGGTTAGAATGATGATGATTTGCACATAATGCTCTTTTTACTGCAACATTATTACAACACCATAACTATAAATGTCACTTTAAATAAGCCTGTTTTCAAAGAGAGAAAAAACCAAGAATATAGTATGAATGCTAGACTTTGAGACAGGTAGGTTTATACAAGTTTTCTAGGAAACACAGCGAGAAAATTTTGCAAAGGATTGCTGTTATTTTGAAAACACTAAAGGAGTCATTTAAATCCCTGGAAAAAGCCCAAAGTATAGTTTTCATGTCTCTTCTTAAACTGACAAAATTCTCCAAGACTCCAGTCATTTTTAGAAGTATTTTACTGCCAAGACACGGAACACAATTCACATATCTAAATTTGGGCCCACAGTTTGGGCTGCAAGAAAGATGAGGAGAGAAACAGGAATGTCACTTACCCCTATCAGCACAGCTAGGCTAGCTAGCTGAATGGACAAGGACAACACACCCTTCCAGAAAGCAGCACGGAACAGCACTCTTCAAGCTGAGATGACTTATTGGGTCAATACCAGTTTCTACTCACAACTGCTTTGTTACACCCTTTTCAGCACAGCATACACCTTAAGTCATCACCTATTCCTAAACACCATTTCTTAGCACGTTAACGATACCGACTTCTAAACATGAAGACTATCCAATTCCAAAGCCAAAACTTTAGAGGTTGGCGGTTAGAACATACCTGCAGCATGTATTGGGGTCCTCTTTACAACATAATCTTTCACCAAGATTGATGCTCCCTGATTAATGAGCACATCTACACATTCCACATGTCCCTTAAAGGCAGCAAGATCCAGTGGTGTCCTTCCATTATTATTCCTCACATCAAGGTCCAGCAGCGACTGCACCAGCACTTCCAGAGCTTGATGGTGGCCATGATAGGCCTACAAGAATAAGAAAATTCTTCAGTTTTCCCATCCTTCACATTTTTCCCTTTCTTACCAGAATTACATAAATGCAACTGCGAAGACAGTATTTTTGTTTTAACGTGTGGAGGAGCTACTGATGCAGCATGTAAGTAGTTTAATGACTAACTAACCCCCCCCCCCCCCCCTCCAATTTCAGCAAGGAGATTGGTGGGTTTTTTCCATTTTATCCTTTCAGTCAGACACTGAAACTACTTTCAGAAAACCATCTGTCTCCAATTTGTATAAACACCAGTATTCTGAATACTGAACGTTTCACGTTTCATTGCTTTATGTTACAGCACCCTGCAAACTTAACTACTTCCTATTTGGTTTTTTAATAAAATATTTTAAAAAGCCAGTAAAATTTGTAAGTAAAGAGAATATAGTACAAACAGCTACAGTTAATGTAACTGGTGAAGTAGAAGGGACTTTGGGGATGAAAGAGTTAAGAGATCAGTATGGATATACAAGGATAAAAAAGCAGCATAGAGAATACTCTGTAGGTATGTGTCAAGACAAAATGCCAAAGTTAGCATGAAAATAAACATCTACAACTATGGTTTTATAATTTCCATAATAAATTTTAAATGTATAATCATGGATACATAACTTCTGCCACCAGACAAAACTTATTTCCAGGAACAGTCTCTTCTAACTGCTTTCATTTACCAGTATTAAAGATTACTTTTTACTTTAGCCATAGAATCATAGAATGGTTTGGGTTGGAAGCGACCTTTAGTTCCAGCCCCCCTGCCATGGGCAGGGACACCTTCCACCAGACCAGGTTGCTCAAAGTCCCATCCAACCTGCCCTTGAACACTACCAGGGAGGGGGCAGCCACAGCTTCTCTGGGCAACCTTTGCCAGTGCCTCACCAACCTCACAGTGAAGAACTTCATCCTAACATCTAATCTAAATCCCCCCTCTTTCAGTTTAAAACCACTACCCCTCATCCTATCACTATGCTCCCTGATAAAGAGTCCCTCCCCACCTTTTCTGTAGGCGCCCTTTAGGTACTGGAAGGACGCTCTAAGGTGTCCCCGGAGCCTTCTCTTCTCCAGACTGAACAAGCCTGTCCTCATAGGGGAGGTGCTCCAACCCCATGATCATCTTTACCCTGATATATATTCATCATCTATATCTATCTATCTATCTATCTATATGTATGTACTGCATGAGACTTACGCTATTTTCAGAAAGTACAGTGTGGTTTTTCGATTGCTTGAAGTCCAGTGAAAAGATGAAAGCTACACACTGAGCTGGTTACTCTGGATTTTGGGTATATTTGTACAGACAGTTTCATCAGGTCATCTCCTACACTAATCTTTGTGCAAAAGGATAAACATTTCTCATACTAAACAATGATGAGGGTAAAACAACGATGATCATAAAATAAAGTAATCACTACTTATAGAACAAGACTTCTAAAAGTTTCATTGGTATAAATTACAACAAAGATATTATTAAGATTCGAAATGAAAGCTGTTCTATGAAGTAAGTTTTAAGTCAAACGCAAAAATTCCACTGTATAGCTCATTCAGGAATATTTTACCTATTTTTGCATTTCATTTATTGCTATTGACCTATTTTAAAAAAATCCAGAGTGAATAAACGTATGCCAACAGCTGTTTGCAATTAGATGAACTACCATCTCCAAAGGATGAAATACTTACAGCTAAATGCAGCGGACTTATAGGTGCTCTGTTGTCTGAATCATTCAGCATGTCAGTACCTGATGTTTCCATTAGCTTAGCAGAGAGAGAAAGTCTGAGTGAGTCCAAAAATCCCCCACCTTTAAAAACATTCAGCAATAATTGCTACAGCTTCCAGCATCCACAGATTGAAAAATAAAGGAAGAAAAATAGGAAGAATAATATAGGATTACAGTTTCCTTAGGAATTCTATATCTCCTTCAACCTTTTAAAGAGCTTGAATTGCAATGACTGAAACTCTTCCCCTGTATTCATCTCCCAAGCAGTTGTTTAATTTTGCATAACAATGCACTAATTAAATCAGAAATTAATCTAAAATTCTTATTTTCCCTGAAGCAGCCATATGAAATAATATAGTTGAAAAGCGTACAAAGGGAAGACAAGGACAGGTGAGAACAGCTGTAGTAGGAAAAAAAACCCCAACAAGTAAGCATTTAGATTAGGTGAAAGTCAGCAAGAAAACAATACGCCATTCTATGATTGATTTCTCAGAACAGAAAAACATTTCCCAAAGAGAAGAAATGGACCCAAAAAAGGCACAAGCATTGTAAAACAGAATTAAAATATCTATGTATATATGTTTCTATTTGTTACGTTCGGATAGGTTCTAAAGTTTTAATCCTGAGTCTTTTTCAAGACCGTATTTAATTCAGTACACTAGTAGAATTAAAATATTCAAAGTGTTTGAAGAATACCAAATACATTCAGATCACTAAGTTTTCATTATCACACTTTTATAACGTGGCCATATGAATATATATGAGTTTAAAAAAAGGCTTAAAAATAATTTTCTACTTGAAAATTCTCAATGGCAATTAAATCTAAACTGTAATTGAAATTAATTCATCTATGCATTGAAGAAATGGTCGGATAAGTCTAAAAATAAGCAGTATTGTTAAAATTGCATGTTCCCTTTTGTTGTACTTTAACAGTGAGGAAATAATACTTACAACATCTAGAGGCGTTTCACTTGCAATCTGCAATTAAAAACATTTAGAATTCATGTTTGAATACATTTGGTTATAAAAGTATAATTTGTATAGTAATACTAAGTTGCACAACACAGAGAAGATAAGATTAGCATATCAAATAACATACACATTTTTGCAAAGGGCTTAATAAAAAACTACCTGAGGCTTTATTATCTAAAATTCCATTATGTGGCCTCTAGTTACTGTAACTGCGTGATCTATTTTAAAAGGTACCCTTACTTTACAGGTGTTCCCTACATTTTAGTTTGGTCCTTCAGATGACATTTGTGTAATTTCTTAGTGGGATACCCATGGTTATTTTATTTCATCCATCAGGAGAAAATTTAGCAGTGCATTCTAAGTTAAGAAACACAACGAAACTAGTATCCCACACCCTCAACCCACTATCTCTTAATCTCAGAATGTATTCTCTTCTTAAGCCAGAAGCATCTTAGCTCTTCACCTTGCTCCTATTTTAAGAGTACCAAGTGCTTAAATATTTATCCTCGCAGGGGCTGAAAAACACTACTGACCTCACTAACAGATGAAGAACCAAGGTGGAGGAATCCCCTGGGCCTCTGCACCATGCTCTGTAAGAGCAGCTGTTACAGCTTTCAGCTATGATACATTTTCTTACCAATTCAAGACACAAGCGATGACCATAAGCAGCTGAATAATGAACTGCATTGTAGCCTTGTTTGTCTCGGATCCCCGGATTGGCATCGTTTCTTAGTAAGTATTCCAGGCACCTATTTAAATTGACATATGCAACCATATATCTAAATGTCAAATTTCAACATTATGCTAAGTGATAAATTGTTCAGATTCAATCAGATAATAGAATACAGCATATAGGAACAGTGATTTAAAGTACAATATTGGCTAGGACGAGAGAAGACCTAACTCATTACACCAAGTGTAAGGTCAATCACAAAGGTTCCAAAATCTGAAAGAATCCTTCTCTGAAGGCATCCTGCATCCTATGAATTATATGACTTGGTTAAAACCAGTATTTCATGGCTATTTTCCTCCTAGCTAATACAACTGCAGTTACCTTTGTTTATATAAACAATCATTTTTGTACGTTTTTCTGTATCAGTACCTTCTTCTGTACTTAATACAGAAGGAAGAGAACCAATAGCAGAGTTCTTCATGGCATGTATCCAAGAGTCACACACACACACACTTCTACTACCAGACACTGATTTATTGATTTATTTATACAGTGAACACACTTAAGTTGTTGGCATACTTCCATCCTACCATTCCTTACTTTCATTACACAAAGTTATAGGCAGAACATGATCAGCACAGTTTCAGCCACACTCATCCAGGAGGATGAAAACCAGGCTACTAAACTCAGCTCCCTCTCCCTATTTTTCTGTTTTTAAGAGACTCCAATTCATGCACACTAAATGATTCCAACCAACAACCCGATTTATATTCATAATTTTATGTTGTCTGTCTTTTCAGCAGCATTTGCAAAGTCACTATCATGACCTTGAACTTGCTGGTGAAGTCTTTGGTTTTCTGAAGCATACAACAGGTCACCATCCCTTCTTCTCTCTGGGATTATGAGATACTTCTCCTTTATCAGTTAAATAAAATGCATGTGAAGATAATAAATATGTTATCTTGTCAAATCCAGCTTCGAATCTTTCTTCCTTAGCACAGTTTATCTAAAGGTCTCACAGATTACCATTATCAGTGGTGACAGATGGGCCAGTTGGATACACTGACAATATGAAGGTTTTAGTTCCCCTTTATCTCATGGAAACGTCAATGTTTATAGTTGTGTGATATGGCTATGCTGTGATGTCACGTGAAAAACTTGCAGTAGGATATGGCAGGTTTAGATTTGAGAGGCAGGAATTACCTAACATGACCTCTGACCACTGCCACTAAGAGTAGAAACATGATCATTCAAAACCCAGGAGAACATTCAACCTTGGGGGAATACAGGCAGAAACCCTACAAAAGCAGCTGTCTCCTGAGGGAAGACCGCATGACCCTGCAACATCAGAGCTCTCGTAAGTTCTTTCAAGGAAGGGCCTGGAGTCAGCAGATGGAATAGTGCAAGTTCATCATCTGAACAGAATCCAGTACCAGCTGCGATGAAATGGAAACACTTTCAACATGAGTAAGCAGCTGTACTGGGTCAAGGGCCTGACAACCTCATGTGCCACAACAGCGATTTGCTGAAGTGAAGACCTGACATTTGTTTTTCCAGTCAAAGGTCGAAAGTAACAAACCAGGTGAGTAAAGATGAAAGGGGCAAAAAGCTGCAGGAAAAAGTATGAACAAGGAAGCATCCAATTACAAAGTACTCTGCCTCATTACAGAGTTGAGAAGAACAGGGCGATATCAAGGTGCACTCTCATCGTTTTGTGCCCACCATAAAGGGGAAAGGGACTTAGGTAGTGAAAAAGGTAAAAATTCTCCAGTTTTAAAGAATAACATATGTAACACAAGATGTAAGTAACTTTACAAGTTCAATGTATCTAATAAAAAGCTACCTGTAAAGCATATCTATATCAAAACTAATTTGGGTTTTATTTGCCCAGTAAACAAATGCCTGGATTTCATTAATGGCAACCATGCTTGCATGTTTTCATCTGAATTGAAATGGGATGAGATTTCTGAGAATCCAAAGACAAGTCAATTTGTCCCATTGAGTGAGAATGACTGTCCCTACATTTTATTTGTCCAATTGTCTTAACGTTGTTATTTTTAACCAATGATTCTGTATTAACACCCATGGCTTATTAATAAATATTAAACATCTCTGGCCTTGGCTATCTACATTTCTATACATGTGTACTTTCTATATTTGTGGCACA